GGTCTCGAGAGTAATGGGTAGAGACAGGCTGGGGCCCTGCCTTCTCTGTGCCTTTCCTCCCAGCCTGCTCCACACAAACTCTGGAAGAGGTGGTCACCTGGCTGTGGGACGGAATAGTCTGTCCTTATTGGCCTATAGGTACACTGTGAGAGGTCTTCCTGGGGTCTGTGCTTGGCAGCAGACTCCTGCATGTGTCCTGAACGTCACCACCAGCTCCAGCAGCAAATCTGCAGATGGACCTCCATGAGATGGGAGGTTGGCAGGCACTGGATTTTACATGTCTTCTTTCATCCAGTTGTTCCCAGCAATGCTCCAGTCCAGGGCTGAGAATGCCTCCATGTTACAGTTGAGGAAACTGGGGTGAAGAATTTTCCCAAGCTGCTCTTCTGCTGTGTGTGACACAACAGCTTTCAAATATAGCTCTAGAGGCAAAGCTGCCCACTGAACTGGGCCCTTTCTCTCCTATTATCCACTCTCCTCCAGTCCCCACACAAAATGCAGAGGGGCCCAATTTACCCTGAGTACTGTGCTGCCTTTGGCAACTTTCAAAGAGAAGGTGAGGACTGGAACATAGCTCAATGGTAGAGGACTTGCCTAGAGTCCTCGAGACCCTGGGTTCCATGTCCATTCCTGCCCTGCCCCCCAAAGCCTAGGCTTGAAATAAATGTCAAACAGGAAGACATCCAAGAAAGTAGAAGTCTCAAACGGCTCAGTTGGAGAGGGGCCCCTGAAAGGCATCTCCGTATCTCCACCCCTGAGCTGCTAGATTACTCCTAGCAGTTCGACAGGCTCCTGCATCTGAAGGTGGGGATGACAGTCCCCGCTCAGCTCAGGGGTGAAGGAGCTGGAGACAGTGCATGTGGAACGCTGGCACAGCAGCAGGCACCCAGCAGGTCCTGAGTAGACTGTGACCACTTTGATTGCTCCTGTTTTCAAAGTTCAGTGACCGTCAGGAATCAGCAAGCCTCTTAGAGGTGGCTTTGATTCTGTGGGTCTGCTGGGATCCACTCCTGAGGCCTAGAGAGGAAACAGCACTCAGTGTCAATCCCCGATCACCAAAATCTACCTCAGGGAGGGCCAGCAGGCTCAGTTCTGCGCCCATTTAGGATCTGAATCTGGAAGGAAGACCACGGTCTATAGTGGATGTAGCAGCTCTTAGTGCTCAGCCCTACCACGGTGCCCGTGGCTTGAGGCAGTCAGCCAACCTCTGTGTCAAGTTTCTGCCAATCACATTAGCCTGGTAACTTCCTGCCCCTTCCTGTCATCCCCAGGGAAGCCCTCACCTAAGAGAGGTCACCTGCCACTCCTCTGGTGGATGCGGTGGGGGGCAGTCCTCTTGGGGGTCAGAGCTATAACGCAGTGACAGCTGCTCCAAGTCCGGGGCAGTCAGTGGTGAGACTCACAGAAACCCTGTAAATTCCAGCTTCTCCTTCCCTCTCCTCACTGAGCCTTCCTTCTTCAGCCACCAGAAATTCCTCCATTTGCTGTCAGCCTAGCATGGTCCAGCATTATCCCCTACACCGAAGGGTGAGTGAGGACCCTCCCGCTAGGAGTTGCGGGGGTGTCTTTGGATCCTAGTTCTCTCAAGATCAAGGGCAATCAGACACTTAATAAACCATGCTGGAATGGGGGGAGCAGCACATAGTAGCAGAACCTTGACCTCCTGAGAGCATGTGTGAAAATGGAAGTACCAGGAGGTCAGTTCCCTTACGTGTCAGTTGACTAGAGATGCCTCTAGAACCTACCTCCTAAGGAACAAGGTCTTCCCTGGTCATGACGCTGGATCTGCTCCATGATTCCTGTGGAAAGCAGACTCGCTTGACAGTGGTTTTCCCTATCTATGCCAACGAACCCCAGATCCCAGATGGTCCAATTAAATGTGTCAGGCAATAAAGATCTGGGAGACGAAGTTGGCCAACTGCTCCAGGGCCGGTGGCATCTCTGCACCTTACCCTGTTGTTTGTGACTGCTACATAGCTTGTGCCTCAGACTCCCCGTTACTTTTGTAGTCCCTTTCTGAGACCCCCTTTGGTCCACCGCTTCTTTGTAGGGTCACATTCCTGATTGGGCCACTTTTGGACATGTCTAGATGTCCTTGTAATTAGTCTTCTTAATCACGGTACTGTAGTTGCAGTGATAACCTGGGTTTTCTGGGACTAACAAACAACCACCTTGAGTTGTTCTCACTTCAGTAGAAATGTACTGCACATCTACTGTGTACATGGTTTAATCCCCACTGCTGGAGAAATGAAGAAACACAAAAACACCACCCTGTTTCACTTTCATGCCTCGGTAGGGCTGACGGTGTGGCTGGGCAGGACATGGCCCTGAGATTACTGTCTGCTTGATTCCCACAGGTGGCTGTATTTGCAGGCCTGGGTCTACCTGGGTCTTCAAAAGAGCCACAACATCCCACAGCGTCAGTAGGGACCAATCTCCCTACCAACTCCGTCCTTGGGATCCAATGGCTTCCTGAGTTCTGACTTGCCCTGCCTGGCCAACCTCAATTCACCAAATCCTTCCCAGCATCCAGCGCTCTGCCCTAGCACACCAAATCCTTCCACCTCTGGACCTTTGCTGGGGCAGCTACTCATCCCTATGGCCTCCCCCACTTCCAGTCTAACGGATTATTCAGATTTGTCTGAGAAGCTTCCCCAAAGACCACCTTGCCCTAATGATTTCTCCCTCTGTGATCCCTACTTCCTTATCTCACATCAGCTGCCCTGTGCCAGATGCTGTCTGATTTCCTAGTGCGGATCCAGTCCACACTGCCTTCTGCTTGGAGTGAGAGTAATTCACACCTGATTCTCACCACCTCCAGGCCACTAGCTGATTCTCCACGAAGTCTGTGTCCTTGTCTCTCACCACTGGGTTTTGCACTTTGTCGAAGAAAAGTGTCAGAAGACAGGCTCTGCCCCATTAGCTCTGTGCCCTCGGGAGAATCATCGTCACACCTCTTTCTCAGGAAATGGTGGTGACACCAGTGTTGACCCCTGCACAGTGAGGCGGGGTGGAGGGAAGCACCGTGAAAGCTGGGAGTCCCGGGCCAGTGAGAAACGTGGAATGGCAGTATCTTGTTCTCCTTGCTTTGGCTGTGAGGCCGCGAGCGCCGTCTTCTCTTCGTTCTCGAATGTCAAGTGCACCAGCTTCCAATCCCTCTCCGGGGCGGGCGCTTCGGCGGCTCGGAATCCTAGGCTGCGGAGGATTCCAGTGCAAACTCAGACTCTGCTCCCCGCCCAACAGCCCCTTCCCAAGGACTCTCGGAACACGCCTTGAGCCCCGCGCCAGAGCGCAGTTCCGAGCGCCTCCCGGAACCGCAGCTTGGTGGCGCGGGTCAAGGCGGGGGGTCGCGCATCTCCAGCTGGTGACTCAGTGTTGCTCGGTCAGGGCGGGTGTGGGTAGGGTAGCGGCCGGGCGAACGGTCGCCGCGCTGTGGGAGCCGAGGCTAGTTCTGGCTCGTCGCCATTCCGCCGCGGGC